GCTTCAAATGGCCTTCCTTAGGATATGCTCCAGTGAATCCCCTTCTTGTCTTGTTTAAAGAAGGTCACTATACTGGCCCTTTTCCAGTCTTCTAGTATGACTTCATAAAGATCATTGCCAAGGGCTACAAGATTTCATTTGCCAGTTCATTCAGTACCCTGCTGATTTGAATTCATTCAGACTCAACAAAATCTCTCTGACCATCTTTTGTTATCTCCTCCCTCACCTTGGTCCCTTCCGTATCCAGACAATCTTTATTAGGTGCCTGGCTTCAGTTTAATTTTTTTGTGAAGACAGGCAAAGTACCTGTTGAAGAGCTCCGTCTTATTTGCATCTTTGGTTAGGAGTTCCCCCTGGCTTGTTAACACAGGACCCACAGCTTCTTGGTCCTTCTCTTCTGGCCAACATACTTATAGAACCTCTTCTTGTTGTCCTTAACCTCCTTTGCCAGGCACAGCTCGTTCTTTATCTTTCCCTTCCTGATTTTGTCCCTGAAGGTTCTTGCTGTTTCCTAGTATGCGTCCTTGGTGAGCTGCCCATTCCGTCATTGCCTGTCTGCTTTCCTTTTGCTTTCAAAGCATTTTAAAACCTCTTTGGGCAGCGACATTTGTCTCCTGCCATTCTTCTTGTGCATCCATTGCACTGGGACAGTTATTTGTTGGAGTTCCAATATTGTGCCCCTTACAAGCTCCCAGCCCTCCTGGGTGCCTTTATTCTTCAATCCATCTTCCCATGACACCATGCCTATTAACTCTTTGAGTCAGAAAAATACATCTTTTTGAAATCTATCATACTAATTTTGTTGACCTCATGTTTTCCCTGTCTCAGGATCTGGAATTCTATTGTATCGTAATCACTTCCTCCCAAGTTACCCATCCACTTCACATCCACCATCCATTCCTTCCTGTTAGCCAGGACAAAACCCAAGACAGATGATCCCCTAGTTGTATCCTCCACTTTCTGGAACAGAAATTATCCTCCACACAAGATAGGAACTGGCTTGAAAGTTTATGTTTGGTTTCACTAATCTTCCAGTACGTATCCAGAAAATTGAAGTCTCCCATAGTTACAACCCCATAGCTTTTGGATAGATTTTTCATCTGCTTGAAGAGTGCATCATCTACCTCCTCCTCTTGATTTGGTGGCCTATAATAAATCCCAACCATGATATCATTGCTGCATCTTTCACTTTTCATCTTCACCCAAATTCATTCTGCTTTGTCATCATCTTCCTCCTGAACCAGGGAATAAATATTAGTGTTTTTCACATACAAGGCAACACCACCTTTTCTCTCGACCACATCCTTTTGAAATAGAGTGTAACCCTCATTGTTGACATACCAGTCATAACAGCTGTCCCACCAAGCCTCTGTAATGCAAATCAGATCATGGGTCTTTTCGTAAGCTACAGCTTCCAGCTCGCCTTGTTTATTCCTCATATGTCTTGCAATTGTATATATGCATTGGATATACTTTGCATTTTGACCTACTCACTTCCCTTTTGTAGCACTTGCTGCAGTCCTGTGGCTCTTTGGCCCTTTCCCAGAGTTAAGTTGCTTCTTTGAGTCCTTTCCCCACTGGACTTTGTGCTCTGCTGCTAGAGGGTTTTGATTACCATCCCCCATGGAACCTGATTTAAAGCCCTCCTTGCTAGGTTGGTCAAATGACGCCCAAAGATGCTCTTCCCCATTCTCATCAGAGGGATCCCATCTCTTGATAGCAGTCCTCCTCACAATAACATCTGTCCATTGTTGAGGAAGCTGAATCCTTCACATCAACACTGCCATCTCAGCCACAGGTTCACTTCCAGGATATGATAGTCTCTGTCTAGATCTTGCCTTCCATTGGAAGAATCTATGAGAACACCACTAGTGCTCCAAACTCCTTATTCCTCTTGCCAAGAGCCTCATAGTCACCTGATCTGCTCAGAGCAATTTCTGGCAGTATTGTTGCTGCCTACAAGGACAAGCAGTAAAAGGTAGTGATCCAAAGGATGAAAGAGCTTTGGTAGTCTCTCTGTGATATCCTGATTTCAGGCTCCAGGCAGCACACCTTCTGGGCCCCCAGATCTGTATGACAAATTGGTTTCTCTGTCCCCTACAGAAGTGAGTCAGACACCACCACTCTTCTCTTTCTTCTTGGTGCAGTGGTCCTGGAGCCCCTGTCCTTGGGGCCTTGCACTTCCTGCCCTCCTCTACCTCATGCCTGCAGATGTTCTCTGCCTTTTCCTCAGCAGTTTTACCATAGAGTGCTTGAAAGCAGTTGCTGACTTCAGTCTGCTGCTCTTCAATCCTGAGGACCCTACTTCTTTGAGTAGTCACATGAGGCTCCTACTGACACGCAGAGAGGCTGCTCCAATGTGCTGTAATTACAGCATGTCAGAGCAGACTCAGTTAACTGAGTCTGCTGGAGCATGGTAATTACTTCGCTCCAACAGACTCTGGTGTCATGTGTATCAGTATCCCCAACGAGCTTTACTTAAAGCACCCCCACTGCCATTTTTCAGCACAGGGATGCTCTAGGTACTTTAATTAGAGTGGCTCTTAGCTGCTCTAATAAAAGCACAGCCCCCCTCTCACCCCTCCTCACCCTCTGGCCACACACTCCCAGAGCATGTCTATAAATGCCCATGCTGGCTCTTTTCCTCATTGCCCTTTGGACTCTCTAGTACCAGCCTCTTGTAACTCATGTCCAAGTAATCTTCCTGGTCCCTGATGCAATGCAGCTTCTAATCTTTGAATCTTCTTCTCCGCTGCAGGCACCAGGTTTCACTTGGTGTAGCTGAAGTGTCCCTGACTCTGAGATGACCACAAACATAGTACTCCCCATGCGGGTCACAACAGCTGACCCAGACTCCATTTGTGCCTCCTTTGCTCCCTGGAGAACACCTACACTGGAAGGAGAAGGAAAACAAAAGAGTGAAGGGGAAAGACAGAAAAAAGACCACAACAACCTGCACACCAAACACCCAAACCAGGGCCCTTGCATGCACTCTCACACATTTGCACAGTCTCCTGCACCCTGGCTCCCTCCTTGGGCAAACTCCCTAAGCAAACTCCCTCTCTGTTTGCAGCCCTCTGTTTACTGTTCATACTGTTCACTGGGGGCTGCCTTTTGATTAGGTTTCCTATCCTAGCTTCAGCTCTTAGTTACCTAAACCAGCTCCACACAAAGCAAATCCTGTCACTTAGTCACTCCAGAAGGGAAAAGATAGAAAAGGGGGTAAAAAAGAGAGAGAGCGAGAGCATGAATAAAAGCAAACACTCACCACAGGGGAAAAAGTGGGGTGGGAGGAACCCCAAATACACACACCAGGCTCCAGGCAAACACTTTGGCACCGATCACCTACCCTAAGTCACTAGCATGGAGAGAAGCCTCATTTTTAGAATGCTTTGACACAGATGATCTGGACAAGAGAACCACGGCATGGTTATATTATGGCAGAAAGTCAGCGTTTGCCTCACATATAAACCCCTTTTTCTACTTTAATAGACTTGTAAATAGTAGAAAACTCAACCTGAGGCCTAATGGAGCTACAAGTCACAACATATCTACTTTCAAAACCTCAGTTACTTCATATTGCTCAAAGAGAACACACCTTGTGTACATAAAGTCTAATGAGACGGATGGGATTTTGATGTTTTAGTTGCTATAACACCATGCAAACGTGGAGACCAGATCCTCCAGTCAGCCTTGTGCACTCATGTAATCCCATAGAGCCTTACGAAAGAAAACATGGCTCTATCAAGGTTCATGAATCTATCTGCTTGGGTCCAAAGACAATCTGGTTTTCTTGCTTTTTTTTTTTTTTTTTTTTTTTTTTTTTT